TTTGACAGCTGATTAGTTGACATCTACAATGATCAGTGTTTCAGAAACCGGCCGTAAGAGGAGTTGAGCTACGTACGTATTAGCTCCAATTACAAGGGCCAAACGTAGAGCTGCGTTTGGCCCTCAAAAATCCTCTGTTCATCTGAATATATTATTTTTGTATTTTGATATCTATCAACGGTCACAGTGATTCTGTACTACACAGCTGTTGCAAATTAAATCAATTTTTTGTAATTAGGTTTTCGATGGTCATGTAGTACTTGGTTTTGTGAACGCCTCGCAATAAATGTATATATTGTGAGAAAAGTTGGTGAGAGGTGGGTAACATGAGGTTATTTTATTATTACTCATAGAAATTTAAAACGAGCGATAGAAATCTTTAAAGGGTGGACCCACGGTTATATCACCCACCAGACGAAAGCTCAAATGATTATTTTTTGCTTATCATAATCAAGTGAACACATTTAAGTATTTTCTTATTCTTATAAAAACAATTGCTTAATACGTAACGACTAAATTCATTTCTGTTTCCCGAAATCTCGGTCGGGACGGTTTGACGTCGGGAATTAATACCAAAGTCAAAGGCGATAGAATCCGTAAGGTAGGTTATTTAATATTGTGTAGAGTCGTCTTCCCATTAGGGTTGTCGCTTGCTGATTGGCTTACTGTATGAGCATCTCTCTCGCGCCAAAGGGTGCGTGTTCGATTTCCACCACTGGAAAAACATTGTGAATATTGTAGAAATTTAAAGTTTTTTATAGTGCTAATCTCTACACTTAGGATGACGAAAAGATTTTTGTGATGTCACTATAAAAAACTTTCAATTTCTAAAAAAGCAATGGTGACATCTCTCGTTCGAATTTATCATTGTAAAGCGATATTCGAAATTGTTTATATGCTGGAAAGGATATAACAATAGATGCGCCAAGGATTGCTTCAAATACTAAAAAAAATTGTACATAAAAGACGTTAAGATTTTCTTCGGTGTGGTAATCAACCGTTTTGCTTAGTGGCTAAAGCGTCAGGCCGCGAATGCCGAAAACGTGGGTTCGATTCCCATAGCGGCGATATCTTTTCGTTCTTTTTCTACAAGTTTTAATTGTGAATATTGTGTTTTTGTCTAGTGACGAAAGAGACTTTTTACATGATAATTAAATAATTATCGCCATCCATTAACACAACACAAGTGAGGTAGCAGTGGCGTTGCTAGCTTTGAGCTGCTACTCACTTGTATATCGTGGCAGTTGCAATAACAAATTTTGCGTTAGTAGTAGTGTGGATTGATATAAGTGCTCTGATGAAAATATATTGAGGACATTGAAATCAGGAATATTTGTGTATGGAATATCTATAATATTAGCATTATTAATATTAGCTTAACGGCATGGATAGCAGTGTATTGCTAAGGTAATATTATATATATCGTATATGTGTGTTAGTGTATTATGTTTAATCTGCCGAATCATCTAATACTTCTCCCTTAGTCTAGCATGAGAAGCGGCTTACCGTGCATTTTCATCAAATCAATATTTTCTAATTCCCTCTTAATTGAATTTTACTTATTTCGATTCAGGCTATATTATATTATATTCAATCATCATAATCGAAATTGATGTATGCACCGATTATCACATTCTTTAATTATAATAATGCAGAAGTTATAATAAGGGACATATAATATAATGGGTAGATCTGATTTGAACTTTTCGCAATTATGTTTCTATTAATTTTATTTACTCCCAACGGCTCTTTGGTATAGCTGCTAAGTGATAGGCATAACGCGGTGATAGGAATTCACGCGGGTCTTGGGTTCGATATTCACACGGGAGGAATATATGTAACATGATTGTTCTCGATCTAGCTGTTTGTCCGTGTACGAATGTTATACGAAACGCTTCTAAAACACGTGATAAATGTCTTCTAAAATAGTAGCAAAGCCCTTTATATAATCAAGGAATACGTAACATAGATACTGTAAGGGCATGATTTAATCAATACAAAATTATGGTGTAGCGATACTCAGTTGCGTTCGACCGAAGAGATCCGTTTCTCATTACGTGCATCAGATGAAAGGAACAATTTTCAACTTTAAAAAAGTAAAGTAAAGTAACAGCCTATACGTGTCACACTTTTGTGAACTGTACCTACTTACCCAGAATCTATATTAACAGAGGGTATAGGGCATAATCCACCATGGAACCTCACTGAAGATTGGCGTATGACATATATTCAAAATATATATTTTTTGTTCCTAATTTCCTTCACCGCCGAGCGCGTGATAGGCCAGCACTTAAAATTAACAGTTTAAAGTGCTTTAATTTTTCTAATTAGAAAACTAATATTACTGCGTATATTTCGACTTTGGCAAACTCCCGACACTTCATCCCTGAGAGGGTTCCGTTCTCTTTAGCACGAGCGTTGAAAGCATACATCGCGTTCCGCCAGACCGAAATATTATGGTTGGATATTAACAATGGGAGGGCGCATCGCTCGCCGAGATCCGCAATAAGTTAAATGGTTTGTGTGAGAGTTCCGTAATGCGTCAAGGACCAGAACGTTGTGCCAGCGTTCTTTCTGTCCGTGTGTGCTTAGAAATCGTAAGTTTATCGGATTTTACCGCAGAATTTATCCTTGAAGGCTTCATCAATTCTGAGTCGCATGGGACACCTATAGAAAGTGAGTAAACTTGTTTTTAAAATCTATTTTGATGTCAGCAAATTGTTTGATTGCTATGGTTATGACGGATGTTGAGTATTAGTAGGATGTTGTCGGAGCATTAGCTCTGATATAACTCAACACATTAGAGATATCACAATTTTTCTACATTTTAATAACGATAATATCAAGATATTCTTCGAGATCGTCAACACAGTTCGAACTCTACATTTGTAGAGTTCTAACTCTGAACGTTTAAGTGAATTAAAACCGTCGGACGGCGAGTCAGAATGACGTAGCGCCTTATTTTCCGCGATGCATCCCCGAGAAGCGTTCCTCGCTGCACTGGGGCGATTTGTTTATTACCAACGCCATTGGGCAGTGGTCCAAGCGAAGGCTGAGTTATGGGCACCCTAGTATCCGTGGCGCGGCGCTCGCAAATTCACGCAAGACGCCCGCTGCGTACCATCTTCCGGAGGCAGCGGCGAAGCGTCGGGATGTAAATTTGAATTTTATAGCTCACGTCTTGCGATGATGTGAGCGATTCACGTTCAAAGCTCAGTTGTCAACACGAGGTTTTTTTACGACGGTTTCTTTACTGTATGCTCGTGTATCCATGTCTCCCGATGTGTTCTTCTGTTTTGGTTTAAAACGACTGTACCAATTGAGTTCCAAATGGATTCTTTACTATATTTTCATATACTGTCCGATGTCTTATTCTGTATTGATTCAAAACGACTACACTAATTGATTTCCTAATGGATAGCAGTCGGTTCCAAAATTCACCACATTATATTTTTAAATCTTATAAATCTGATACTTTTAAATCTGTTCATAATTGGCCAGCAAGTTTTAAAAAAATAAGACCAAAATTGAATGACATATGGTGATTGTTGTGAAAAGATAGAAAACATTTTACAGTAATATATTTAAATTATATTAAGACCAAAATTGAATGATATATGGTGGTTCTTGTGAAAAGATAGAAAACATGACAATTTTACAGTAATATATTTAAATTGTTAATTCGTTCCGCAGTTTGAACTAATTATTATTTCTTATTAAAATACTCACTCACACTTCACTCTTTTCCAGCGATTTTGAGAGTCTTTTAATACTTTTTACGAAAATTACACATCAATTGCTAGAATTCGAATTCCAGTTATGACACGTATCCCAATATCTTAACATCCTTATACGACCGGCAAAGAATTCGGTCGATAAAAATGGTGCAATGTCGGGGATTCTCGAAAAGCTCGTTAATTATTTTCGTCGGAGTCTCATCCTGAATAGTTTAATGCCGCACCATGTTACGAGTGCTACGTATAACTTTGGTTAAGCTCTAAAAACTTAACTGTTTATTCATTTCATTAAACTTTTACACAGCACGCAAAGCCGGGCCGAGAATGGCGAATAAGTAAAAGCGGCATTTGCAGTTAATCTGAAGAGTCATGTAGAGATGAAAGTAACGGTAGTAAAGTAACAGTAGGTGTAACAGAATTTAAAAGAAAAAAAAAAACAACAACAATCAACAATTTCTCTGGACTTAGAACTTTTTAGGGTTCTGTACCCAAAGGGTAAAACGGGACCCTGTTACTAAGACTCCACTGTCTGTCCATCCGTCCGTGTGTCTGTCTGTCTGTATGTCTGTCACGAGGCTGTATCTCATGAACCGTGATAGTTAGACAGTTCAAATTTTCACAGATTTTGTATTTCTCTTGGCGCTATCACACCAATTACTAAAAATAGAATAAAATACAAAATATTTAAGGCTGCCCCCATACGAAAGACATGACTTTTTTATTTCTAATAACCATGGCACCGTGTCCCGCTTCGATTGAGCCACAATGACGCCTCCGCGAGCGATGGTGTCGCGAACAGTCCGCTGTCTCCGGCACTGCAGCGAATTCATCGATCGGCTATTTCGTCGGACTAGGAAGGCGGAGTTCCCATGTTTTTCCGTTTACGCGGACGCTTGTCGACTTCCGGCGTAAGGCGGGCGTAGGGCGGCCCGCCCTGAGAACAGTGGACGCGGTCGTACGCAAACGTAGCGGTTCGGAGCGCGTGGGCTACGCCGTGATGCAACCTCAATGTAATATCCAATATATAAACATGTTCTCGTAAGCTGGCTAACGTAAGCGTAACTAATCTGTGTGTTGCAATCTCATCCATTATCTACAAAAAACGGCAAAAAATCATGACTTTTGTATGGGGCCCCCACTTAAATTGTTGTTAATCTGTTTTTTAGTTGTTTATTGTTATAGCGGCAACAGAAATACATCACCTGTGAACATTTCAACTGTCTACGCGAGAGTCTTCGATACATAATCATTTATCGATATTTATGGATATTTATCGCCGCTCGATTCAGGTGTAGGTCGCTTTTCAAGGAAAAGTTCGCCAAGGTCAGCGGGCGAGTGGCGGGTCGTTGACAGCCAAAAGTCCTTGGCAGGGTCGCAACTTGGCACCCTGCACTGCGCGCGTTCGCGCCTCTGTGCAGTTGACACACTCCTCGACAGTGAAGGCAGCTTGAGCGTTCGCCGAATCCGCCTTACTCCGATACAGTCGAAAGCTTGTGGAAATGTATCACCGTTCACCCCACAGTCGCTTTTACTGTTATAGTACGGAGGCTTATGAAAGAATATCAATCGAAAATAGTGAAATAAAGTTGAGGTTTACTTATTTACGCACATACTAGCACATAATAGCAGTACGTGCATCATTGTCAAAATTAATATTTCAGGAACTGACGGTAGCCCGGGTTAACAATGACAATCAGACAACCAACGCCTCAGTCTGTCCCGTGACCATGAACGCTGTACAGGGTTCGAAACGTCGGGAATTAAAATTAAAAATAAACGCGATAAATCCTTAAAAATTAGTTTCACTCATTATTTTTCCAAACGCGCCAAAAAAGTATGACTTCAAAAAATATTGCTGGATATATTTTGCACGACGATATAATCTAGTCGCATAATAAATGTACGTAATTTAAATTTGTCTGTTTTGAAAGATAAATCTAAACTTCATCGGTGTCCTAGATAAAATAAAGTAAGAATGAATTAAGAAAAGCTAATTTTTAACATAGCTAATGTTAATACTGAAAATGCCAGAAAAATTCAGCAGCTCAATATTGTGTTTTATTTTAAATCGGAAAGATTTCGTCGACTAAGGCAACACGATGTTTCGCACTCGTCGCTACATCAGTCAACATCTCAAGCGTTAAACCCTTTGCTCTGAAACGACTGAAATTGTGGGAATTCAAGAAGAATAACAATTTTTGAGACGGTAAAAATTCACAGCAGTAATGTTTCAAACGCGAAAATTTCTGTAAAGACGACGTCACGTCGCGCGTTAACGCATTTGAAATGTATCGGGTCATACACTATTGCTTTAAGAGCTAACATCTATATGATAGAGGTCTCTCGTTGTGCGCGCATCACGGACAAGCTACTGGATGAATTTCTACGTTTTTTACTAAATGCATATGGATGTATGCACGGTACGTATACGTATAACATTTTTTATAATTTTTGTCTGTCTGTCAGTCTATTTTTTGACTAATCTCTGAAACGTCTGGAGCAATTATGATGGGATTTTCACTGGCAAAGAGCTGATGTAATCAGGAGTAACTACTACTTTTATATTAGAAATTTTATTTATTTTTAATTCCACGCAGACGAAGTCGCGAGTACAGCTATTTTAATGTAAAATTGTTAGTTTTAAGAAACATTCATTTTTATGAGCTTTGCCAGGTACAAACCTCAGCCTCAACTCCATTCATAATATGTATTTTTACTATATAATATGTATTATGTATATTTTTGCTTCCGATCTCTTTGATGATTTTTCCACTGCACATAAAATACGTTGTTAATAAAACATGCAACAAGGTTTTAGCTTGTTTATTATAAAATGGAGCGAAAGATACATATTTTTTTACTGTGCCAAGGCCAAGGAATATATCAGGATGTTGGACAAATCAGCAGGTCAGTATCGTGTCTGTAACCCCGCAAATGCATAGATGAGCACGGGCCGCAGGAATCACTTAACATCCTGCTCGCTTGCCGGCTTGTTACATGAAAAAGATATGCCCGCGCGAATAAACACCAAACAAGCACTACTTACTGTTCACGAGTTTCTTTATTATTCCTTATACTCGTATTCCATTTGAAATGTCTTAAGTAGTTTATCTCGGCTATTTTCCATTTTTGATACTTCGTTAAAATATCCTGACCCTAGATATTCTTAGTGTACAACAGCTACACTAAGAATATCTATATATATGAAGGGCACTAAACATTACTACTAAACTATTTATTAAACTAACTAAACTATTTATTATTATAACTATTTTTCGGATTTTATCGAATTTTATCAAATCAAATGAGTAAATCGTGTTGAAGATTTTGTGTTACTCAAAACATATAATATTTCCTTAAATATAAAGGGGGTTATATTCAATTTACCATGTTCGCTGTAATATAACAAATATATATAATAAGTAATGTATAATACATGGGCGCTGTCCAAAGATTTACTAGGGAAGATTCGCTGTTGACGACAGGCCTGTGTAGGCGAGAAATTGATTGCATGTTTTTTCTGTTATTTTCTCAGCACTAGCATTGACAGTGGTCATCCGAGTCAAGGTTGGGAGTATCCCGGATAGTGGGTGCCATTTGGCAGGCTTTGGCAGAGTACCATATCCACGTGTTGCCAAGTGGACTATGTTGCTGTTGATTTTCTATTTTTTTCACACCCACCTTCTTGTTTATGGAACGTTTTAATTACTTTATCTGTATTCGAAAAATGAGTATTAGACAAATGCGTTTTTTTTTTCTTTTGAAACTTTCAAACGCATAAAATAATTTGTATTTGCCCCAGTGCTGGAAAAAGGCCTGGGTAAGGGTATTAGAGCATAGTTCACCATACCACAAAACGGATTGATTGGCAGACCTCACATAGAATTTTTTTTATCAATTCGAAAATACACAGCTCACCTAGAGATGTTTTACTTCACTGATGTGCACGTGTTAAATCAGCGCTTTGAATTGAAATAAACAATTTTATTGGTCTCAGCAATGGGGTATAAAGCCAGGTTGCTCGAGTATATTGAATTTACAGTTAGAATCCATCTCAAAGCATACGAATTTAAATAGATTATTTTATGTATATCACATTGAAAACACTAACGGTGATTTGGCTTGTATTTCTAATTGGAGTAAGGAGTTTAACTATCAATCCTACGAAAACTCATTAAGACATTTCAAATGGAATACTCAAGCCATCATCATCGGGAGTTCTAGGTTGGCCGCTAAAATTGACTGGTCTTCTCTACCCCCAATTATTCTTAACGGTACTCACATCCCGTACAGTAAAAAGGTGAAGAATCTGGGAATATTTTTTGACGCCTGTCTGACATGGACACCACAGGTAAATGAGACTAGTAAGAAAATGTTCTCTGCTATAGGCTCCTTACGAAGACTGCGTAATTTTCTTCCTACTGCTACTAAAGTTGCGCTCGCTCATTCACTACTTCTGCCTATCCTTGACTATGCTGATATTTGCTATCTTGACATTACCGAAGTACAGCTTAATAAACTTGAGCGGATTCAAAATTTGTGTCTTCGATTCATATTTGGGCTTCGTAAATATGATCATGTTTCCGATTTTCGTACACAGCTCAAGTGGCTCCCAATCCGCCTTCGCAGGAATACCCATATTCTCTCTGCTTTGTACAGTGTGTTGTTTAATCCCTCTACTCCGAAATACTTAAAAGATCGCTTCGAATATCTTTCCTTATCCCATGAAAGGTCCCTTCGTTCTTCTGCCAATCTCTCCCTCCAAACTCCTGTACATTCCTCTTCCTTCTTCAAAAAATCTTTTACAGTGACAGCTGTGCGTTTGTGGAATTCTTTGCCCCTTCACATTCGACAAGCTAAGTCACTTCTTTCTTTTAAAAACCAATTAAAAGCTCATTACTTGGAACTGTGAATTCACGCTTTCCTTTTTCCTTTTCTATTTTTCCCGAAATCTTTGACTATCTCATTGAAGTATAAATGCCTTCATCCGATGTTCATAAGTGATTCATGTACACCTCCCTCTGCTCTCTTGTTTATGTCTCATTAGCAAATATTCTATTCACAATGGTTGTCTGGCCTATTGCAACAGACGAATCAACGATGTCGTATAATGCATTTCGAAATTTGCCTTTTGATCGCACAAATGCCCCGACATTTCCCGAGGGCGTTATCAGCGTGTGTCGGCGACGTGCCGCAAGTTCTAGATATCGTATCGCCAACTAAGGCGGGCGGAGGTTAGCTCGCTGCGGGGGCTTATTCCGAAAGTGCATTGTGAACTGGATGGATAATCTATATCGTTCGTTCTCAAACATATCGTTCCGTTAATTCCTACGGCGTCGATATTTCGATTGAGTTTGCGATTACCTACCGATATTAACCTAATGCTCAACGGAAAATGTCGTGATAGCTCAGGTTGCACTCTTTTGATTTAGTATACCTAGCTCCCTTAGTTCTAATCCCGGTGCCGGTATGCGTGCAATTGTTGTTTCCCAAGAAATAGGAAAATTATCAGGTTCTCAGCGGTGAAGGAAAACATCGTGAGGAAACTCCGTATTTACCCTAAGCGCAGAGGAGGTCTTTGGCGAAATAGGTTTGCTGAAGTTTCTAGAGCTTTCTAAGACCTGGTCAATTTTTACCATTTCAAAATCGTTCAAGCTCTATATAGTTCAAGGGTTTGACTGATGAGGTTTGTGCTGTAGCCATTAATGTTGAACTTATGAAGTGAATAAAACTGTTAACTTTCGCTTTATAGACACAATACAATAATTGGAGACGTAGGAAAAGAATTTCACAAAAATACATTAAATATTACCTTTTTGCTTAATGTCTCGTGAATATACTGGAAAACTGGAATACTGGAAAGGTCGGGAATTTAGAATAAAATCAAAACGCGATAAATTCCGTAAAACACTTTAACTGAACCAATCTCAATAAGATAAGGAAAACCTTCACGATTTCCCCCCTCCGGACACCGAAATCCAAAATTATTTCGTAACGTCCCGACCGAGATTTCACAAAATTGAACGCAGAGAACTTCGACGGTGACGGTGCCTTTCGCATGGCCGGATTTGAATATTGTAACGGTGCATTAAGTGAGTCCTCTTTATTTCCCCATAAACAACGTCATTTTGTATGAGCGCGCGCGGTTTTGAACGGATGCTACTCGTGCGGAATCACTAAACACGTGCATCTGACAGAGTGATCGTTTTGTGACATTTTGGTTTTTTATCTAAATTTAGAATGAGCAAATTACATCGTTTCGTTTATAACTAAATTTAGAATTGACGCACGCCATGCGTTATGTGACGGACCTCTTACACCTGTACATATGTTAAATAATCATTTTTAAAGGCGACCCTTATAACGTCGAAGAATATATTGAGGATAAGGATGTATGGAACAACGTGACACGAGAATTTTATATATTAGATAATTTTGTAGACTTGTATCTTATGGTTTTTTGGTTGGTTTTCTTAAATACTACTATGAAGATCTTACCGCGGTTTATAAGAAATTCATACCAAATTATCAAAAAATGTAGTATTCGCGCGAAATAAGATATAGTTGATGGCTCCGTGGTACAGTTGCCAAGCTATTAGCTCAGTGCTAGGGGCCGTGGGTTCGATTCCCACACGGGACAACTATTTGTGTGACCCAGAGATAATTGTTTCAGACCTGGGTGTTTGTCCTCGTGCAATTTATGTTTGTAAAACGACTTTACAAAATAAAAATAAATATTTCTTAATCATTGGTTGACACAAACGTTGTTATTCTTTCCAATGTCTTTGTAACAAGGCAGTCATCATAGTTGTTATAACAGTTAGGAAATCAACTCGTACTTTACAAAGCGATTGGGTTTTATGCAAAAGATGCTGCCTACAGTCACAATTCCTCACATCTTTCTTCCGTATGTAATCTTCAAGAGTAAGGCACTTTTAATCGACGTTTTACAAACGGGTTAGTAGTCAGTCCAGTTGTAAGATGCCCACGAGATTGACAAAGAAATATTTCGATTCCCGGAGTGGTATTTGCATAAATGTGAGAGAAAGTCGTAGCCGATACTTCCATAAGTCCATTGTGTCGCGTGGGCCACACCTTCAGGCCTTGTTCCATTCGGTTCCCGTTTTAGAATAGATATACATAGAAGCTTCCGGATGCCACTACGCTACGCAGTTTTTGTTTTCTAAGCGACCATACGTAGTAATATCATTCGCTTTATATTTTCCATTTGGCTGTTTTGATTCATCTTCTTTAATTTAAGAGCTAGGGTCTTGTCGGTGTAGCATCCCAGTAGTTCAACTGTGTTACACCCTCTATCCATCCCTGTTCATAGCTCTATCATTTACCTATTTATAGGAACCAAATTTATTTTCTTTTTTATTTAAGATGTATAGACTATCTTCGGTTTCCCTCTACCCCACTTTCCTTCTATCTTTCCTTCCATGGTGTTATTAATGAATTTGTCATATCTTATTAGTTGACCTTTCATCTGTCCTCTGCGGTTTTCTATTATATTCATCAGATTTCTCTTTTCTTCTTAATTTGTAATCTCCGTATATATGGATATAGATATATATTTTGATTCATATTTACGATTATTTTTTTTTTCGTCCATTATCACAGGGAAGATTTTTATTGTCTCTTTGTGTAATGATTACTTTGCTTTTGATTTTTTTCACTTACCGTAATTTTCTTAAA